ATTAGAAAAATAGATTAAATGAGAAAAAGGTATAAGGTGGTGGTGGGGAAATAAATATTGTATTAGAAGGTTCCTGTTGTGGTACAGTGTTGTAGTGTCCCTATTCCTGAATCAGGAGGCCTGGGTTCAAGTCCTGTCTGCTCCAGATGTACGTAATAACATCTTTGAACAGGTTGATTTAGGAGAAATAGGTATAATCGCATTAGGGAGTGCGTGTGGCAAGTGCTAGAGTCCCTGTCTCTAGGCCAGAAAACCCAAGATCAAGTCCCACCTGTACTGGAAATGTCTCTCAACATGTCCAAACAGGTTGTTTTAAAATAATTATTGTACTAGAAGACCTTCAGAGAGGGTTCAGTTGACTGATTCCTGGATCAAGGGGAATATCCTATCAGGAATGGCTGGCGAGGTTTGACCTGTACACATTGAAGTTTAGAAGAATAAGCTTATTGAAACATACTAGATCATCAGAGGACTTGAGAGTATAATGCTAGGAGTATGTTTCCTATTGTGGGAGAGACTACAACTATGGGATATATTTTAAAAATTGGGTGTGTGTCATTTAAGATTGATATGAGGAGATTTTGTTTTTGTCAGTTGGAGGGTCGTTCGTGAATTTCTTTTTGGTGTACAGTATAGGCTGGATCATTAGACATATTCAAGGCTGGGTTAGATTTTTGATTTGCAAAGATTCCCCGAGTTATGAGGAACTCTAGGAAAGTGAAGTTGAGGCCACAATTAGATTAGTCGTGGTCTTGGTGAATGGAAGAGCAGGCTCGAGACGCTAAATGGGCTAATCCTGCTAACGTTTGCATTCTTGTACAAATGCTGGGAGGAAAGAACAATAGTGACAGAATTGACCACAATTCCACGGATATCTAAGACTTCTGTCACCATTAAATGCAAAAAGATGTTGAGCAAAGAACTAATATTGTCTAATTTTCCAAGAAGAGTTTGTTTGGGGAGAGTGAAAATGATCATTTTTGACTTCATCCGGCCAGACCTTCCTTGCGTGTGTACGCCAGGTCCACAGCTGATGTGCTTCAATCTTATCTGAGGACTTGACGATTGGATTATACTCAAGATTTGGAGGGAGTGGGAGATGGCAAGTAACTTGGTGGGAGAGTGTGACAGCAGCCGAGAAGGATCTGGAAATGTCAGGAAGTATTGGAACGTTTGGGAGTAGATTTCTCACTGTCGGATGGCATGGGCGATAGGATAAGAAGGAAAAGCAAGAGGCATGAAGCAGTTGGAAAGGCACTGAAGTAACCAGAGACATCAGATCAATATGCGGAATTTTATGCAGGATCAGACAATCTTCAGGAAGAAATTCATAATGCTGTAATTTGATTGAAATTCTTAAATGTGGCTTCAGAAACCACCATAACTATTGCTGTGAGTAATCAGAAGCCCAGAGCAATTATCATAGAATCATAGCGTCCTTACAATGTGGAAGCGGGCCATTCGACCCATATGAAGAGCATCCCACCTAGACCCACCCCTTACCATTGGCATTATGTGCAATTTAGCATGACCAATCCACCTAACCTGCACATCTTTGGACTGTGGGAGGAAACCGGAGCATCCGGAGGAAACACGCAGACACGGAGAATGTGCAAACTCCACACAGACAGTCACCCAAGGCTGGAATTGAACCCGAGTCCTTGGCATTGTTTGGCAGCAGTGCTAACGACTAAGCCACTGTGCCGCCCCTCTCTAGCAGAGAAGACCGCTGATTCCCTGAGTGGTCTGTGGGAACATGATGGTGAGTACATAGGAAATTTTCACCAAATTCTCCAATCAATGGCCTCACAATAAAAGAAGCTCTAATTGGTTTATGATTCAGCGCAATATGTGGTATCCATCAGATGAAGAAAAAGTTGCAGTAACATGTTTAATTGAAGTAGCGAAGTACCTTGAGGACAGATGAAGCAAGAAGGAAAGATACTGCTGAGTTGAATTAGCTGTTGAATGACATCATATGCCCAAAATGATTGTAGTATAACACAAGTCCCAAAGCTGGTCGACTGTACACCAACAACAACTTCAAACAATCCAAACCATGGTAAGTTGTAGGGTCAAAGAGCAGGATGTTTCAGGAGGGATGTACCAAGAGCTGGAACCTTGCATCAAAATTGGGAGAGAAATAATCTGACATTGTCTGTAAAGTACAATTCAGTGAGTATGACAGTGTCCTAGACACGACCATCACTGTCTCTGGGTTTGTCCTGTCTCACTGGCAGGACTGATCCAGCAGAGTGGCCCAGTAATATACAGTTAGGATGGAGTTGCCCTGGGAGTCTTCAACATTCACCTTGACCTCCAGGATTTCTTATGGCGTCAGGATAAACATGAGTAAGGAAATTTCCTGGTGATTACCTATGACAACTTCCTCAGCTGTTGATTCAGTACTCTTCCAGGTTGAATACTACTTGGAGGACACCTTGAGAATGGTGAGAGCACAGAATGCATTTCGGTCAGGGGACTTAAATGAGTAGTCTGGTAGCACTGAGCTGGCTAAGTGCTAAAGGACATACCTGTCAGACTGAGTATATGCGAGTGGTGAAGGAATATGTAAGGGAAAATCTACTTGACCTCATCCTTGTCTGCCTGCCTATCACAGGAGAGGACTGACACGTCCATTCATTCCAGTATTGGTGGTAGTAATGACTGCACAGACCTTTTTTGGAGTCTCAAGTCCCATCTTCACATTGAGAATGCCCTCTATCTTGTTGTCTAGCAGTACTACTGTGCTGCATGGGTCAGACTTCAAACAGGTCTAGTAACCTCAAAACTAGACACCCATGAGGCTCTGTGGGCCATCAGGACCAGCAGAATTATATTCAGCAACAATCTAAAACTTCATGGCCTGGCACATTATCTCCCATTAGCACGATCATCAAGATGTACAATCAACTTGGAGGCAGGGTGACCTGCCAAGAGTAGCCTGAAGCACATACATGTTTTTTTAAAAGAAACATCAATCTGGTGCAGCCGCACTACTCCACTTGCATGTCAAATAGCTGATGTAGCCTTGTCGTTTGCATGCTAAGTGATTCTATAATCAACAGATTAGATTTAAGCTCTGATGTTCTTGCACATACAGTTGTAAATGATGGTCAGCTAAATAACTAGCAGGAGGTGGAGTCTCCTCAAATATCTCCATCCATAGTGATGAAAAAGCTCAGTACATGAGTGCCAAAGATGAGACTGAAATACTTGCATCCCTCTTCAACCAGAAGTGCCAAGTAGATGATCATTCTCTGCTTCCTGCTGAGGTCCCCAGCATTATAGATACAAGTCTTCAACCAATTTGATTCACTTCATATGATATCAAGAAATAATTAAAGACACTGAGTACTGCAACGGCAATGGACCCTGACCACATTTGACAATATTATTAAAGATTAGTGTTCCAGAATTAAGCGTCCGTAGCCAAGCTGTTCCAGATCAGGAACAATGCTTGAATCTATCCGCTAATGTAGAAAATAGCCCACATATTTCCTGTGCATTGAAAAACTGGGCAAATTCAATCTGGCCAAATACCTTCCAACACCCTTCTCTTCATAGTCAACAAAGTGACGGAAGAGGTAAGCAGCACTTGCGAAGAAATTGCCTACTCAGTGACGCACACAGTTTGGCTTTGGCCAAGGCCACTCAGTTCCTGAACTCATTTGTGCTCTTGCCCAAATATGAACAAGAGCTGAACCACAGATGTGAGGTTAGAGGGACCGTCCGTGATTTTGTGATTTTATTTGATGGAGTGTATATCAAGGATCTCCAGCAAACTGGAGTCAGTGGGAATTTTGGGAGTGGGGTGATGGAAATGTGTGTTGGGATCTCTCGCTCTCTCGCTCTCTTTCGGCTGGTGTTGTATGGAAATCGGTCATCTCGGGTCCAGGACTCCTCAGGATAGCATCCTAGGCCCAACCATGTTTAATCGTCTCATCAGCGACATTCCTTCCATCATTATGGTCAGAAGTGGGGCTGTTTGCTGATGGACTGTTTCATTTAAGACTTGAACAATATTTAGGCTTGTGTTGATTTAAGAGGCAAGTCCCGTTTGTGCCACACGAATGCCAGACAATTGCTAACTCAATAACAGAGAAACTAATCGTTGCTGTTTGATGTTGAGTGGCGTTACCGTTGTCGAATCCCTCGTTACCAGTATCCTGGGGTGGGGTACCATTGACCAGAAACTGAACTAAACTGGCCATTTGAATACTCTGGCTGTAAGGGCAAGTAAAGAGTTGAATTATGTGGCAAGTAAACTCACCTCCTGTCTTCCCAATGCCTATCCACCATGTACAAGGCACAAGTCCAGATTGTGATGGAATAGTCTCTGCTTGCCAAGATGAGTGCAACTCCACCAGTACAAAAGGTATTTGACACCATCCAGGGGAAAAGCAGCCACTTGATTGGCACGTATCCATCCACCTTCATCGTTAATACCTTTTATCAATGCACTGTGGCAGCCATGTGTACCATCTACAAGCTGTACTGACAGTACCTTCCAAACCTGTGACCTCAACCTGTAGATGGACAAAGGCAGCAAATCCATCACCTGCAACTCAATTCCATACCACACACCACCCTGACTTTGAACTATATTGCCATTCCTCCTGTGTTGCTGGGTCACAATCCTGGAAGGCCTTTCTAGGAGCACTTTGAATATCCCTATATTTCAAGGACTACAGCAGTTCAAGAGTTCTCCAGGGTAACTAGGGGTTGGTAATAATCAATACCCTAGCTACCGAGACCCTCATTTTCATGAACAAATTAAATGAAAATAAAAAGGTTCAGTGCAACTATTTCAAAAGTCTGAGATTTCATCCAGCATTAGCCTAAGCTGTGAAATGGCTGTGGTGTACCTTGAGCAGTCAGTATTTTGAAGTCTTTCTCATCTTACATCAGGAGTCTTGTATTACAGTTGGAAGAACTATCCCATAGAATTGTCAGATGACGGCCTAACAAAATCATACTTGTCAAATCATATCTTGCAGCCAACGTCCTCCACCAAATTTGCCGGGTACGTCCTATCATACCAGCAGAACAGAACCATCTGAGTGGTAAAATAGCGTATAGTCCAGTGGAAGTGAGCTGTCAGAATTCTTAACAATGAATTCCATCTACATGAAGTCTCATGGTATCAAATCGAATAAGGAGAAAGATACCTGATTGCCAGCAACTGACCTACTTCAGATGATGAAAAACAATCCTCCATCTGTTTACTACTTGAAAGAGATTGGAAGGTGACAACAGCACAGAGTGCCATCTTGGGGATTTCACTTTCCATCAGGAGTGGTTCAGTACTAAGTTGGCTGAGTCATGGGGACATATGTGCCAGACTTGGTCTGTGATGTGGTGAGACAAACCTCCACAAGACGAATGACCTAGGAGTTGCATCTGTTCGTGACATTTTGTGGAGACCAATCTTCACTGGCTGGATGAGGGATTGAAGGTGATAGCTTGTTTCATTCTCTACCATCCCTAACCCAGAGGTTCAGTTTGCTAATCCCGCTGCAGCAAGATGTATAGCTAACGCAGTACAAGTTGCTGATCAGTTGAGAGTCTGAAATGCTCCATTTTGCAATGAGTTATTTTATCGACAAACACAGTGAGCCTATGACAACTTTCATTATAGAAATGATTTTCATAACTTAATGAGCTCACTTGTAAGAATATTGCAGATGGCCTCCATTATTCATTACCTGCTCTCTGCGTGTGGCTCCATTTTTTTTTTAAATTGCTTTCCTTGCGCAGTGGGAGGTGATCGTTCTAATGTAGCGTTTTCCTTCTGTGTCCTGTGCTTTTCATGCTCTAGCTGTCCTGGCGATATATTGAAATTTCTTCCTCGTGTACACTCTAAAGTATTGCCTCCTTCACTTGAAATAAATCTTTCTTGTGTATTTTAAAGCTAAGTTGTTTTGATATGGGCTTCTTTATCTTCCTGGCCTAGCCATCGTTGGCTGAATGTTGTGTACTTGCCTGCGTGGAGTATTTCAAACCACAAATCGACATTAATCCTGTGAATATAATACAGCTTTATTATAAACCAAATAAGGATGGCGACTAATCGAGGCTTTCCCCTCTCTCTCTCTCTCTCTTTCTCTGTCTCTCTCCCCCCTCGCAGTGAGGACTGCATTGTTTGCTCACCACACCCTGCTAGATTTTTTTTTTCTCTCTCTTGCATCTGAAGACTGTGTCTGGCTGCAGTCGGATGTGGCACGCAGCCATAAACTATTACAAGCGTTTTACGGAGCAATGCCGAGCTGACTCTCTCACTGCTGCAGCTGGTATGGCGTTTTATTTTGTTGTGATCTGCCATTTTCAAAAGGATATAAGCAATCTAACAGGAGGCTGAAAGTGACTGGTGCCACCCAGCTGAATATGCAAACACAGACTCCAAGCATGCAGCCAACGAGGCAGTGTTCCTTTTAAAACCTCCTACTGTACATATCTCTAGTGCAGCAGAGGCAAGCACATCAGGCTGAGGCATTTTTCTGTGCAGTGGGCATAGCAATGAACGTCTGCCAGAAAGGATCAATATGAGACGGCCCTTCTCATTGGCCAGTCGCCCAGGCTCTCACTGCAACGCTGGTCCCAATTGGCTCTCCTCCTTACCATGTGCGGCTTTATGAAGGGAAATGGCCCTTTTTTTTAATCTCCAATGGCTGACTGCAAAATGCTGCACTGTTAGTGTCTGAACGTTTTATGGCATGTTGGTAGGACTGTCATATGAAAATCAAGGTTATGAAGGAGAGCTTGTATATTTTCAGTCTGTTTTCCCTGACGTCTTCTTTCTTTCCCCACAGGTTGCTGAAAAGTGCCTTTTCTGAAGATTCTGCTGCTTGGATTTCTGTCTCTGGCTTTTTTTTTTCCTTTTTGGCTTTGCTTAAAGCAGCTCTTGGAGACGACAAATCATCTATCCTTTTCGTTTTGCCGAACGCCTAATTTTTTTTTTTCTCCCAGTTGTTTTTAACGTCTAACAGCAAGTATTTTACCCCACTCCTTTTTTTTATTCTCTTCACTCCATCTTCATCTTCCACTGTCTTATGATCAGTTAATGCACGATCTTGGGAATAGGAGAAAGACCGAGATCTTCACCTCCCTCTCCCCAAGAGAAGTGAAGCTTAACTGTAAAGCGAAGCACCGACAGCAACATATGCTACGAGAAAATTAATCAAAACCAGTTACTGGAGAGCACGGAATTCCATTGACAGGCTGCTGTTACCTTCGAATAACTTCTTCACTTGGCACAAAAAGCGGTTATTTTTCTGCCAACGCACATCTAAAGGGGCTAACCCGTTAATTGATGCCCGCCCATTTGTGTGATGAATTATTTTTAATTTAAGATTGGCTCTTTGACTGATGTCATGTTTCTGCACAACGATCTGACTAACTGAAAACCTAAGTGCTGAGAAGAAAAGAAATATATTTTTTAACCAAAGGAACGACTTTATTTGTTAAGTTATAATTTTAACTTACTTTTATACACTTTTTTCTAAAACTGTTACTGTTCTGGGGGTTGGGACAGAAAAAATTAAAGTGAGGGGGATTTGGTTACCCACATATCCTTTCAGTTTCCTAATATGGCTGTGAATGTTTCAATGATCCGTGACACAAAATGGCTGACGTTAGAAGTGTGTCGAGAATTCCAGAGAGGGACTTGTTCTCGGTCTGACGCGGAATGCAAGTTTGCCCATCCTTCGCGAAGCTGCCATGTTGAAAACGGTCGTGTCATTGCCTGCTTTGATTCACTGAAGGTAAAAACCTAATTGTTTATATTTTTAATAATTTGTTGATTTCATTTTTATCACCGACATCATGCTTGTGGATTTTGAATTTTTAAAAATATTTCTGTTTTTGAAAAGCTGGAGTGTTGCTGAAGGTAGTTTCGTTCCTAATATTACATTTATGTGGCTTCCCTTCCTTAATGCTTGCCCAATACAGTGGGGAGGGAAAGGTGGGCTAGAATGGTGTAAGCATTTAGAATTCTTGAATGCCAAACAATTCTGTTCATAATGCACAGTTTTTGGGTCAGTTGAGTTCAATAGTTGAGCTAAAAGCCTTTTTGAAGTGATCAGTGGATATTCTTAAAGGGGTTCTGCCTGCATAAGATCATTGGCTGAAGTCAGAGGACAAAGACCATTTGAATCTCATATTTTCTAAACACCAACTCGGCATCAGAGTGTATGATTTGTTTTAACTTTCAGTACCCTTTCAAGTAACTCCAATTCAGTTGCTAGAAATCTTTGTCTAAAGATGCCTTTGCTTAACAACCCTTAACCCAGTGTCCTCTGTTGTATTGCTGCTTTGGTATGTTACTTTGGTAAATTTACTTTGGAACCATGCCCTTTACTCCAAGGGGACTGGAATGCTTCAATGATAAAGTGGTACATCATTTGGTTGGAATATTGATCTGACCCAATCCGTCTCTGGGCAGTGCAGCTCAGGAAGGCTGTATTCACACTGGAGAAGGTGCACTGCAGATTCACCAGTGGAATGACATTGGGAATTAAAGGGTTGAATTATGAATATCCATTACTTAGTTTGCCTTCTCTCAAGTTTAAATGATTGAAGGGTGATCTAATTAGATTACTCCAACCATTTCCTCAGGGTGAGGTCAGAGATTTGGAGTTGAATCTACTTGAAGCAGATTTTCGCATGAAAGGTAGTGAAAATATGGAATATTCTTCTTCTGTAGAAGACTGTGATTGCGGAGACAATGGGGGCTCTTAAGACTGAAATAATTGTTGTTAAGTGAGGAAAAGAGAAAGAAAGCTTTCAGTGCCTTTCATGACCTCAAGATATCCTAAAATGCTTCCCAGCCAATGAAATCTTTTTTTTTTAAGTGTAATTCCATTGTAATATAGGAAACATGGCAGCCAATTGAACACAGTAAAATTCCACAAGCATCAATCAGATGACGTTATAAACTGTTCTATTTTTAGTAATGGTATTTATTGTAGGATAAATATTTTAAGGTTGAAGTTAAGGGTTTTGAGGTAGATGGAGCAAAGGTAACCAATAAAGTTCTGATTGGTCATGGTCTTGTTAAATTGCAAGCAGATTTGAGGGGCTGACATCGTAAACCTAATCCTATTACCATAAGTTAACTTTCTCTGTCCTGCTACTTACTTTGAATATCTCTAGACTGTCTCGTCTGTACTGCCTTTTTGAGGTTATAGAGTCCCAGCTAATAAGTGGCTCCTCACATTCCTACTCATTGATACCAGGGACAAATCTCCTTTTTTGTCTGCAGAAGGATCAATAACACCACAGTGACTAGAGCAGTTTCACAAATTAGTGTTTACAGATCTCCTTGTCTTTTTTTCTAATTACAAAGAGCTCACGGGAGATGGTTCCATCTTCCTTTGTCCCAACGTGCAATGCCCTCAAATGAAAACTGATTTATTTTTAGGGCCAGAAAGGGATTCCTTAGAGCTTTTTCTTGAAGACTGTCCACCTTTAATATTGTCCTTTTTTTTAAAAAAGAATGAAAGGGCATTATGGATAGTTTATAAAATAGGAAATGTGATAAGTTTGAGAACTGGTATAGAGTCATGTTGGAACATCACAGAATGAAATACCGCTTGGAATGAAATAGGAGCATGAAGGTCAAAAGTCTTCATTTGAAATCTTCACATTCTTTACTTGTTAGTTGCTGCTTTTTGTCTGTCAGTCCTTTTATTGTCTTGCCTTTTCCTTTTTTACAGACTACTGTTTCCTGTTTTACCTTTTTTACGATGTTGCTGTCTCTTAAGTGTGTGACCATCCTCTGTTTGAATTTTTCAGATCAGATTTCAAACCCTGCTAAAGAACTGAAGTCTTAATTTAACTTTTATTGCAATGACAAATTATATCTTATTTGACTGTTAATGGAAAACTAAACCTAGCTATCCTTGCTAACTTGTCTGCAGCCTTTGAAACCATACTGTCTCTTCGTAAATACCAATGCTTGGTTCTGTTCTTACCTTTTCAGTTGAGCCAGAGAATCAACTAGGACGGACTATCACTCAAATCTTGTCCTATTCCCCTTGAAGATCTACAAGGATCATCCATGATCCCTTTTCTGTTCTTCATTTATATGCTGCCCCTCAATAACATTGTCCAAAAACATGTAAGATTTCACATGGATGCTGACCACATACAGCTCTATCTCACCACTACCTGGTTCAATCCCTTCACTGTTCCTGTATTGTCACGCTTCTTGCCTGATATCCAGTAGAAATTTCTTCCAGTTAAATGCTAAGAGGTCCACAATCGTTGGTTTTGATCCTATTGCCTAATTCTGTGCCCAAGTTGCCAGCTCCATCCCATCCCTGACTTCTGTTGGATGCTGTCGCAGACTGTTCACAACCTTTAGCATCTCATTTGACCTTGAGCTGAGCTTTTGACCCTATATCTCTCTGCCACCAGAACAGACTACTTACACTTCTCAAAATCATTATCCATTTGCATTTCACCTCCACCCTATCTGAAGCTGAAACCCTCACTTGTGCTTTTGTTATCTCCAATCTCGTCTGTTCTAATTCACTTTTTGGTTGTTCTCCCATCATCCTCCCTCCATTAATTTGAGCTCATTCAAAATTCTGCTCTTCCTGCCCACCTCTCATCAAACCTTTCAGTAAAGGCAAAGTATGGTGAATGCTGGCAATCTGAAACAAACACCAAAAATGCTGGAAAGACTTGGTAAGTCTGACAACATCTGTGGGGAGAGAGAAACAGTGTTTACATTTCAGTTCTGGTATGACACCTCTTCAGAACTGTCCTGAAGAAGTCATACAGAATCAAAACATTGACTCTGTTTTTCTCTATAGATGCTACCAGACATTTTTTGAGTTCTTCCAGCATGTTGTATGTTCATTTCTCATCAAATCCCATTCACCCATTCACCCATCACACTTGCAGTCAGTGAAATGTGTTGGCTCCCAGTTTGGCAACATTTCAATTTAAAAATCTCATCCTTAAGTTTGTGATTTCTTCCCTCCCTAACTTTTGTAACCTGCTGCAGACCTGCAAATTCCAAAAATTCAATATTATTCCATTTCTGGCCTCTTCGGCATTTTCTTTCAGCAATTTATATGGTAGATCTGGAATTCCCTTTTTAACTCTTCACTTCTTTTCTTTAAGCTGCTCCCTCAAACGTGCAACTTGCCAATGTATTCGTCATCTTGATCCTAATGTCTCCTCCTTTGGACAGTAGCATTTTTTTATTGTTTGATAAGGTTCTGACAATTGCTTTGAGATGTTTTCCTATGTTAAAGTTGCTATAAATTTGCAAGTTATTGTTGCTGCTGCCTTGAATATTTTACATATATAAATTTATGAATGAGACAGTATCTTTAAAGGATGGCTCATAAGGTACGAAAGACGAATAATGCATTGTTTAAATTAGGTTTTTGAGTCCTCTGATGGATCTTGGATCTTGGAATGAAAATTTGTTTGGGTTCCAGCCAATAACAATAGTGTAAAAGCCAATGGTCTAACATCGCAGCAAGTTTAAAGAAAATATTCTGGGTGTGTGGGCATCACTTGTAATGCCAGCACTTATCTCACATTCCTAATTGCCCTTGAGAAGATGGTGGTGAGCTGTCTTCTTGAATCATGGCAGTCCATGTGCTACAGATATATCTACAATGCTGTTAGGGAGATTGTTCCACAATTTTTATTTGGTGACTGTGAAAGAATGGTGATTGTTTCTTGGCAGGGAACTTGTTGGTGATGGTGTTCCCATGCATCTTGTCCATTTAGGTGTTCAGTTTGTGGGGTTGGAAGGTGCTGTTGAAAGATGGAGTGCTTTTTGTCGATGGTGCACACTGCTGCCATTGTGCATCAATGGTGAAGGCAGTGAATGTTGAAGGTCTTGGTTGGGCACCAGCTAAATGGACAGTGATGTTGCTGGACGGTGATGTTGCAGCTCAGTGCAAATATTTTCAAACAGTTAAACCGTCAAACGTTAATTAGTTCCTTCACATCTATCTAGTACCTTTTAAGTTGACAACAGAATCTAGATAAATATGCAGCAAGTGTACATAAAGGAGCTTGGTAAACATTTTGACCAAGCCAGTAAGAACATTGCAATTTTAAATCTTAACCAAATCATAAATAATTTTGTGACCTTCATTTTACAGTATACTGATTTGGTAGTGCCCTCCTGTCTGCACTTCTACTTTGTATGTTTTAAATGGGGTTGGAATATGGAAGCAATTAGGAATTCTAAATAATTTCTCCCACAATCTGTCCATCAATTACTGATTGCATAGTTTGTTGTGTGGGACGATGTAGAAGGTGCCAATGAATGCTGCACTGCAGTTGAATTTGCAACACACTTTTAAAACATAATGGTCTGTATGCCCAATACCTTAGCTTGTGTTTTCATAGCTCATGATTGCGGGAAGCAAAGATCAGGCAAGAAATTTGCTTAAATTTGAATTTGACAGCTGGGTGGTTCCTATCTTAACTTTGCCTCATCTTAACTACGCTTGGAGTCAGTACATTATTTTAAGGTACAGAATTGGACTGAGAGAATATACAGTAGTGTTATGGAAGGAGACACTGAAAATGAACATCAGGGAAACAAATTTGAAAAGTTTTTGAAATGTTCAAGAGGCTATCGAGTCTAATAGTAACAAGACTGTGAAGGAAGTGAGGAGGAGAGGATTAAATAGTGACAGCAAAAATAGAGAAAGGAATCCCAAGGTTCCTGAATGAACACAGGAATTGCTGGACAAAAACAGACAAACTTGGCCTCTGCCATCCT